AGAGGTACCTAAAGCTGCCAACGAATCCACGAGCTGGTTGAATTGGTTCTCGAAGTCTGAAACCGTAACAGAGAATGGAACAAGTACTGCTCGGCGTGATGACGATGCCAGTAGCGCGGGTAAGAATACCCCCCAAAGTTTTATCTCAGATGTTCTTCAAGATGGTTCAGCATCCCCCAAACCACGTCGAAATTCAGAGCCGAGTCCTGTTTCTCCATCTGCACAGCAAGAAGAAGCCCCACGCTCTTGGCTCAGCTTATGGAGTAATGCATCCACACAGACAAAAAGCAGCTCATCGGCAAGCGCAATTGGCGTAGCTTCCAATCCACAACGCGACTCCTTCGGAACAGAACCGCAAACTGGAAAGGTGAGCGATGCGGGATCTTGTCCTATGTCCACCCCTCAAACTCCTCAGCAACCCACAGATGGTGCAAAACCATCGTATGGCTGGGCGTTTTGGTCCAGAGATCAGCCGAAGAGTGATGTCGAAAAGACACGTCCTGGAAGTGAAATTGGGGAATTGGCTCTTGCTGGGTCTTCATTGCAATCCAAGCCGGAGAATGCAGTAGTAGACGAAGCGGGAGGCGTTCCAAATAAGGTCAGCAAAAGACAGAGGCCGCAATCACTAGAAGTAGCTGCGGATACCAAGAAGCCTCGGGGCTCTGGAGATAATGCCAAATCAGATTCAAACCCCGACGCTATCCCTTTGGATTCGAAAACAAAGCCCAAGGTCGATGCCGGTTCCAAATCAAAGGGCATGCCCGAGAATTTACTTCTTCCTTCATTTAAAACTACATACAGTACAGTGGGAAGACCAAGTCTGATCCAGCAGATCAGCAGGTTGTTGCAATTGAGATCGACTTTGGAACCAAAGCACGTCGACATTGTTCAAAACCCACCACGGGTTAGGAGAGCTTTAGCCATTGTAAGCTTGGCTCGTTCGTTGAGCGTGGGTCTCATTCACGTGGCTAATCTTCTTTCTTTAGGGTGTTCATGGCTATTTCCCGGCACCGTTGATTCGCTCCGTCCTTGGTCAACCAACAGGCACGTCTATTCGTTTTGCCAATAGTGCAGCCAGCGCCATTCAGAGATGGACCCAAAATCAGGGCTATTCATGTGAGATCGAAAAGGTAGCTCTAGAGGGAGAAGGCAAAATCGCAGAACGCATTGACCTATTGTGGAAGCTCATGCTCAATTGGATCGAAAAAATACGAAAAGCCGACTTTGTCATGATTGCAGGTCACAGCCAAGGAGTGCCTGTAGCCATGATGCTGGTTGCAAAACTGATAGCATTCGGATGCGTTAATTCCGCAAAGATTGGCGTCTGTGCTATGGCAGGAGTCAATCTTGGCCCTTTCGCTGACTACAAGTCTCGATGGATAAGTGGCTCGGCTGGAGAGCTTTTCGATTTTGCACTTCCCAATAGTCAAGTGTCAAAGGACTATGAAGCAGCCCTGGACGTTGCCTTGAGGTTTGGGGTAAAAGTTGTCTATGTTGGCAGTATAGACGATCAGCTCGTTTCACTAGAGGTGGGCTTGTGTGTGGAGTATTTGGAGTCCAGCTAACATATTCGTTTAGTCCTCTACATTCGGCTGCGTGAGCCACCCACATATCTTTCGGGCTGTCTTCGTAGACGGCCGACTCCACGCCCCTGACTTCCTTACCCACTTAGTGGGCTTCGCGTTGAAACTTCGTAATCTTGGCATATCAGATCATGGCGTGATCCGAGAGCTGAGCAGCCCACTTGCCGGTAGTCTCTACGGCGGTGAGGGACATTCCAGAATTTATGACGACGAAGCTGGTTATTATCTGGCTGTCGAGCATGCTCTTGAAACAACTTCCCTCGGTGAGATCTCTCCACAATTCCACCGCGACGGTGCAACCACGTCACAAAATCCGTACATTTTGCCGTTTGCTATGCGGGGTGTATTGGAAGAGGATTACGTGCGGACAGAGCTGTATGGAGAGATTACGGAGTTGATCAAACAGTTTGACGAGTGGAAACCATCTACTAAGGCGCTCAAAGATGTCAAATTTCGGTTGGAAGGCGTAAGGTCGAAGTTATAGATACGAGAATCCAAAAGGGACGGGGTTCTGTCTCAAGGCCCAGGGCGTAGAGGTTTCTATTGCATGGATTGGGTATCATACTTGCACTGAAGGTGTGCATGGTTACGGCATTCACATGTATAAATGCTGCGTTGGACGAATCCAAAGATGATGGCACTATCGAACAAGCTCTTCGACTTCTTCTCCTCATTCAAACTCGATCCAAGCACGCTCCAAATAGACGAGCTATCGTTCTTTATGATTTGCTTACGTTACCTGCTCTGTCTCAAGTCTCTTGGCCAGCGCAATTACGAGATTATAGTCTGCAAGCATCGAACCAAGAAAGGCAAGCACTGTGCGTGGTTGCTAATTCATAGTATGAGTCATAAACCGGGTATATGATATAGGACCTCGGTGTGTATGTACATGCGGGATCTGTTCAATACGGGATGTCTCGTATCAGAATGGGTCTGCCATTAAGTCCTCCAATTTGGTGCACAATTAGAGATACTTTATCCCTGCTGCGTGAAAGACCTGCACCTTCTGCCGCCCATGCTCTTCATGGAAATTGCATGGCGAGCGCATATCATTTCGATCAGAAACCAGGACACATGAGACTAAGCGCGACTAGCACGCACAACCATCGCTCTCCCTGTCCAAGTGGATGTCGATAGGATCCGAGAAGTCACCACTGAACTCCTCCGATTCTTCTTGTGCCAAGGCGTTCCTGGCGATTACTGAAAGTACCTATGTCAGCACGAAGATAGACATAAACGAAAAGTTTGGGTGCACCATGCCTTCGAATGCCTGCTCAACGTTGACAGCCTCTTTGGCACTGGTCTCAAAGTATGGAATTCCGCCTTTCGACTGGCAGAACGTCATGGCTCGTTTCGAAGATATCATTCGCTTATTTTCTTCTACATCAATTTTATTTCCAAGGACAACCTGTGTCTTGTTAGGCAGCAGAACGCAGGACTGCTCGAGGTTGACCAACAAAAGGGAAGTTCTCGGGGTCTCGAGGGCTGGCCTGGATCAGAAATTCGTCTCTCCAACTGTCCAGAGTATCGAAACTCTTTGAGTTGTTGACGTCATACACCAGGACGCAGCAATCGGCCCCTCTGTAAAATGCCACGCCTAGCGACTGGAACCGCTCTTGACCAGCGGTATCCCAAAGCTAGACAACAGTTAGCCCTTGATACAGCGTCAAGCAGCTTGTGCCCACACCTGCATTGTGACTAATCGATCGTCCACCAAGACCTCTTTCGTCAGGAAGTCCGCCCCAATTGTTGCCTTGTAGCTCGCGCTGAATTTCTTGTTGACCTGATTTGAAGATGAATCTTAGCCGCCAAAGCTGCGCAGGAAGGCCATGCGTCCTGCTGTACATACATATTGGTTCATCAAACTAGTCTTCCCAACTCCACTATCGCCAAGGATAATCACCTAGTTGTGGCTGGATGTTAGTGATTGACCATTACCTTTGTACTGAGCGGTAGAGGTACCTTAAGCAGGACTTTCTTCCTCGAGGCCATGTTGATCGAATACTCTCAGACGATAAGATGAATGAAAACAACGGTTAAACACGCCCGCCAAGCTAGAAGTTCTTGCTGAAGCCTCCTCCTGCTGAGCAAAAGTAGAGCTGGGCTTTGCTTTTATTGTCTAAGAGTTCTCACAACTGGCTGAGACGGAGGTTATCAACAGCAGTCGTTAAGTGCGGTGTACTCGTGTTCCTCAGTAAAGCCGAAGGGTGACGATTTGGGCTGTTTCCGGAGAAGTTGACGCCAAAGAGCTGCGCCTGCTCGGCCATGTCACGGTAGCCAAACCGACTTAAATGTCGATCATCCTTCAGCCCTATCGAAATCGCGCCCACAGCCATTTGTGCGTTCGATCGGTCATCTAATGTATCAGCACAATGGAGCTTCAAAGCAAATAGGAAACTTGTATCGAGCGTTCAGAATCCATCACGGAGACAGAAGTCTACCAACATGCAACAGGTCAACTCTCAAAACATCATGTACATCTGAATATGCCATCCTGGCGGGATGACTACCTGAGTGCGCTGCATGAGAGGGACAAGAAGGAGAAGGCAAATGAAGCTGTATATAATCGCTGTTTGTTTTTCCGTCTAGAAGTCCATGTCGGAAATTGACAAAGTGCATCAGACGCCAAATTGGCTGATCGAACAGCTACCCTCCAAGCCGCTCGGTCAGCAGAAGTTACTAGGTTACAAGAAGAGCCAAGATCGTCACCCAATCCCAAAGACCGCAAGATAAGCCGAGAGAAAGCGGTACTCGGTAGTCCCACCACTGGAGATACAATCACCAAAGTGCGCCAGGACTTGAGTGAGGCTCAGCGTAGCAGGGGGTTTGATGGAGGCCAAGCTCCAGAGCGTCACAGAGGAGTTGCAGAAGCTGAGAATACAATCGTCATTGGACAGCAAACGTATTGGCGAGCTTTCGAAGGAGAAAGCGATGTTGACTACGGGGATGAGGGACAGAGATGAGGAACTCAGGGGGAAGGCGAAATTGCTAGAGGTTTGAGTCAATGCGCTCTGTTCTTGTTGAGAGACGTGTTTGATTGATCAGCAGGACGTGCATGACGAGACCGTATCGTTAACGCTCCAGCTGAACATGGCCGAAGAGCATTCTCAGAAGTTGCGACATGAGAATAAGGAGTTGGTCGATCGGTGGATGGCACGAATGGGACAGGAAGCTGATGCTATGAACGATGGATCCAAATTTTCCTGACCAATGCACGCGTCTATGAAAACCTCAATCGTGCCTTCGGAGAAAATGCCGCCATCCAATGCTCTTCGAATGCTCCTGGGTATCTCTCGAGCCGCTAAACTCCAAGTTTATGCAGTACCAAAAGCTTCGCTACTAGACCTTAGATAATACTGACCATACTCTCTGTTTGTGCTTGTGATAGGCTTTCCGTGCCCCATCCTGGAAAGTCGCTCACATGTTCTTTTCAGCAAAGGCCTGGACCTTAGAGCTGTCCTTTGTCGAAACATAGTAAGTGCCTGCAGTTTCAGTCCAGCTCACGCAGGCCGAGAAATAAGTCTTCTGGACGACTTCGAGTCTATTGCATGCAGCCGACAAATTTTTGGAAGTGATCTTATGCCCATGGGGAACGAAGGATTTGAGTGACACGATCTTGGCTCCCTCTTTAAGGTCTAGGAACAGATTTGTCAAGTCTTCGTTCAGGTTCGGAGTGAATGCCTGGTTGTTGACAAGGACTACATCTGCTTTCTGGAGAATCTTCAGGATCGCAGGATTCTTGAGAAAATCGCCTCGTTCAAGATGAATGTCACCCGCGGAAAGACCCCATAGCCGGCACCGAGCGTTGAATTCCCTTCTCCTGAAGCTCGGCAAGATCACAAGCATTGTCCATCATCTCACAGCCCCAGCTCTCGCATCCAACCTCCAGAGCGGCTTGAAGTACGCAATTCCCGACTCCGGACCCGAGATCAACAAAGATCTGATCGGACATCATCTTGACGTCCTGTTTGAGAATTAGGGAGATGAATTTGGGAAGTAGCTCGCCGTACACATTATCCGTCCCGTTCTGGTAGTGGCGTAACGTGTGTACCCTAGGTGAAACTGTTCGTGAGTAGGTTTGTGTCAGGATTCGCTCGAGCAATTTTAGGTCGACAACTTTCCATTCGTCGATGGTCTTAGAAATAGTCCCGTTTTCCTGAGAATCAACCAGGTGTCATTCCATTCCTGCACAAAGACCGTGTATTCGTTCCCGGCACGCCTCTCCGTGGCTCGCTTGAGTCGCCGAATCAGTCCCGTGCTGTCATTTTGCATTTTCGCTGCTTCAGCGCTTGGAAGGTAGTTGCTGATGATGGTCTCCATGACTTCTCTAATGTCTTCCAAAGCCTTGAAATCATCATTAAGGATTGGCACAACCAACTCGTATCTGCGATCATTAGCTATATCCTCTTTTGGACATGTCGATGAAAGGCATACTTCTCGCTCTGAGAAGCAGACGGGTACTGCAAATGAATCTCG